CCCGTTCACATTAAAAAAATTATCTCGAAAATTAATCAAATGAAATTTTAAAATGCCGCTTAAGTCTTTCTATTCATGTCGTAATTAGGTTCTTATTTTTCAAAATGAAACTACAAAATGAAAGTAACACAACTACATGCAAAAGTGGCGGATTGAAAGTAAGAATAACTATTTTCTATTGAATTGTACCCCCTTATTATTTTTTATGAAGCTGTTTAAGTTTTTCACCTGCTAGACGTTAGAAAGCAAACGGCTCAAGAAGTTCTTGATCCATAAAGGTTTTTCAATTTGCGAGGTGTTGCGGGCTTTTGTGGGGGAATCAAAAACCTTGTTTGCAGTGTGCAATGCTTCATGTTGCCCCGCTTTCATGACTAGTAAGCCCCTATATATGGTAGAGATGAACTTACGTTCGCTCTTTCCAGCATGTAGACAACACTCTAAGATCGTGGTGACTATTCAAATTAAACCTCGGAAGCAACAAATTTCAAATGATACTTTATGGCTTTAAGTAAGTTGTAGATGAAATTTGGAATCTTGGCTTCTTGAAAATGAAACTGGAGACCACTTTCAAAGGTGCACAATGTGGAACATGAGTTGAAATGAGTTTCAGTTCTACTGCATTCAAACTGTTTTCGAAAATCTATAATTTATATACAAGAGAGGATAAAGGGGACAGAGAGGGCATCCCCCATACACACCCTATTCCATAGGTAATTCGTCTCGAGTTATTTTTAGAATCGGGATAAAGTTACCTCGCGAGCGCTGCGTGGATGTTTCGTGGAGGTTTCGCTGAGTGAGTAAACGCCGTGCAAAACATGTCGGGCGAAAGGCAATGAAAGCGTAAAGAGATCGAGAGCATTTCTGAATATTGACGCGAAATGAGTCGGCGCTCACCTGGGAAAAGGGAATCGCTAGACTCTTTGACAACCCGTGAAATCAGTTTAACTCGAAGTTGCCGTAACCTCGGTGCTTTAATAAAATGAGAACTTTCGCCAGTCTATTGAAACCGGTCGTTTAAACATTAAAGCAAGTAGGACGCCAAGTGTTATTTGTGTTGAATAATAAAGGACTAATAAAAGAATACATGTCAAACCAGAAATTGCTCTCTTCAAACTGTAAATTATAAATGATCCTGAGAGAATATTCAGTGTGTGAAGGATTTCCCTGCTGTACTGTTAGCTCTATACAAGAGAGGAAGGGCGATTCTTTTTTAATTTCCATTTCGCTGACACCGCTTTGGTAGAAATCTCTCTTCGTCGACAAAACGAATAGCAATATTGCTCTCCGCGTCTTCCGCCATTTTTTTCAGCGTCAGTTCGTGAAGGACGCGTGGCTCTGAGCGTTGGTCATCCACTCGGAACACAGTCGCGCTATGTGATTGGCTGTTGTCTAATCCCCCTTGGGATCTGTGGTCTTAAAAATAACTCGAGACGAATTACCTTTGGAATAGGGTGTGTATGGGGGATGCCCTCTCTGTCCCCTTTATCCTCTCTTGCTATATATTTATAAGAAAAAAAAGGTATAATTTTCATTAGAACATCCTCAAAAAAAAATAATAATGATAAAAATCTGGCTAAGCTAGTCCGAGGCTACAACATTTATACCCACAATCAAATTCAGCGAAAGTGCTTGATTTTTATAACTTTGCCGCGTCGATAAGTACTCTTAATTATCGACATTTTCATACAAGGCTTACTGATCTTGAAAGAGACCACTTCGAATATTGACATGTTTATAAACAGTTGCCTCGTATGACTTTAATACAGAATCTTAGCTTGCTAAAAGCAGCTTTTAACAACTTGTGGTTCCAATTCTAAGAAAGCTTGATATTTGAATGTAAGACAGAGAATTGTGAATTTGAGAATCGTGGTATTGAACTGTAAATTTCACTCGCCAGCTTAACTTAACGGTTTTTACGACAGGCATAAGATCTATAATGGCCTATCACTGCTAGACGGTGGCTGCGCGCGTCCATTGAGTTCTGACCAAAGGCCGTAGATGTCGTAGATTAGCCGTGGTTTGGTGCCCAGGTGTAGAATTGAACTGGGTTTGCCGTGGTTGACAAACGCCACATCTAATGTTAACGAGCTACAACCAGTTGCAAAAATACTTGTAACACTGTACCTTATTTTGGCCGAAATAGCCTGTCTATGATCTAACGATAGTGGTTCTCTCCCCCCCACACACACACCCCCAGGTCAAAGTTGCTACTGATCAATATAAGACTACACGAAAAAAATAGAGGAACAACTTTGAATGAAGGGGAAGAGGGGGTGGGTTTTTTTTCTCACAGATGTGTGAATAACAACTTTTTTTTATTTAAAAAGGCCGATTTTTTGTCGGAGTGTCTCAACATTTTTGTAGCAGTTAGATAAAAAAGAGAGACAAAAACACAATCATGATAAATCATCACACTTTATTTCAACTGAAACGAAGCGCAATACACACACATAACGCCAATACAAAGCATAAATGCTGACTGTTGTGTCACAGACATATATACTGCTCACTAACTAATGATAGAAAAGCAGGAAGCCTCTCCTTAAGTGTATGTGTTCAGGCATCCCTATAATCAAAGAAAATTTTTAAAAAGGTTAGTTTTGAAGACTACTGCCGATTGAATCTAATTTTCCTGTTATGATCCAAGATGGCCATATATCATTGTGAATGACGTCTCTGGTATCCCGGTTGCGTCACATTCCATACGGTATGTTATTATTCATTCAAGATATTTCTCCGTGTCTGATTGGCTAAAATCCCACGCATAATTCATCATAACCAGCTATTGTCGACCAACTTTGAAAAAATTTTGCGATACGTGAAAATTGCTAGATTATTGAACCGTTTACCAAGAAGACCTGGGAACGAGGTTGAGTTGTTTTGGTTGTGACTAGAAAATGTCGGAACATTTCACTCGTTTCAAGAGTAAGAAATAGGCAAACTATGGGCTAAAACAGCAAGAACTGCAAGAACACATCTCGACAGACTACATCTACTATTTGGGGAATATTTGCACACCTGAACAACCCTATATCTTGTAACCTTGCCGATAAACATGCACTACATGCACTATCGAAGATGAACTTTTAAAATCGATGGAGGTAAGCATGTTTTAGCTTGTTTTTAAACTAGGAATTATTTTGAATTATCTTGGAGGGTTTCCATAATTCTTCAGATGATGATATAGCCTAGCCTCATTCAATAAGTGTTAATTGTTATATGGCTGCGTCTGTTTTCGCCATGCGATTGGTCAATTTGCGGTCCGTAACTTGCTATACGGACCAAAATTTCAAAGAAAATGCTCATTTCGGAGCTCTAAATCTCTTTATCTGGGAAAACAGGTTTAAATAAAGTCATAAGACGTCTGTCAACCTTGAGGACTAAAATGTTGACTTTGTCCTTCAACAGTTTAAACCGGGTTTATTTGTGAACGAAGGCGATGAAGAAACTAACTCGTAATCTTATCGAAGAGGATTCTAGTCTGTTTGAAAATTTTACCGTAGTACACAGTTAAGAAGACGAAATCGACTGGCAGAGATTCGAGATGTTTTGCCTAGGAGAAAATGAGTAAATTCCTTCGACAAATATGATAACAAACATACCTGCACCTGATCATCTTGACGACATTGCGCCACCGTCATCTTCGTTGTTGCTTTAATAAACACTCCAATATTAATGGGCAAGCTCATGTAAAAGATAACGCACAAAAATGAGTGAAGGATAAAAATGTTCACATAGATATTCACAATATGAATACGAATTTATAAATCGATGGAGAGTACAGCATAAATTCAATCAATATTTACCAATACTTACCGTCCTTTCAAATGCTTTCGTGATGTTCAATTCAGCTCTAGAACTGTAATTTGAAAACTCGAATAAACTATCTATCTTTATCAGTATCCTCATGAAGGCGGCCGCGATCGATGTATCTCTGAGCTTCCGCTAAAAACGCCTCCTCTGCAGGCTATTTTTTTTTGTCGTTTTAATTAATATTTTAAGCCCGAAAAATTCCATATTTTTACAGCTTTTTTCTGCAGAACAGAGCACTGATTACGCGCACAAAACTTCGTGTACAATACTGGACTGGTAAGAATTTCTCTTTCAATCAGAGGCCGAAACACAGTTTGGCCTTGTTTTGACTGGAACTGACAATTGGCTCCTCGTCGGTGTATTAGAACCTGTAAATCTCACGGGTGAGGTAAAATAAAATATAGAACGAAATCAACACAATGGTACCAAGAAAAAGAAAACATACAAAACAAAGGGAAAAGGTAGCCTTTTTATTGCCTAAAGTAATTTTGATAGTTATGTATTTATATCAAATAAACATATAATGTCTATCGGTGCAATATTTTGAATTCATTTAATTCCGGTGCCAGACAGTGATCAATCTTATCCGAAACGAAAATAGCAAGCTGAGTACAGAACTTTACAGTGTTCAGAAAGCAACCAAGGCTCAGCAAGTAGTGTACGCCTATTAAACAAGATCACTGAAAAGATATTGCTAAAGGCGGGCTTACTGGGCGCCTGCGTTTGTATTCAAGTCAATTTCTGAGTCCATTTCTTCTTCTTTCTTTACTCCTAGTACATTTCTTTCCCAGTTAACTGAGTGCCTCACAGGGAGCTGGGGCGGGGTATATACTCTATTTTCGATTCTCCCATGATATACTCTTTTTGCTTCCCTCGCCAAATTTTGAAAAAACTATTGTTTTCCAATGCTCCTGGGAGGATTGCACTTTCCCAAGAGTATTTGAAGACAATAACTCCTGCCAAATTTAGGGGGAAAACAGAATGCTTTATGGGGCAAAACCAGGTCCAACTATCAATTTGAGTGGGCTACATTTTTGCCGAAAATATTTCCGCACCAAGGCCTTTTACCCATGAAACGTCATCGCAAAATTGTTAACGAAAATGTTAAACACAAAAGGGCTTCGCGTTCACCGACACTGTTATATGCGAGTACCCCCTCCCCCAATTCCTAGGACGTCCCATCCCCCCTCCTGTTCAACATGCTTGGAGAAAAAAAAACTTTTAGAACCCTGGGACTAACCAGAGGATTTTAAAAGCAAAATTAATAGCAATTTATCTGGATTGTCATAAGCAGCGCTAATATCGGGTTTAGAGCTTCATAGCTATGTTCACACCATCAGCGAAGGGAAGAAAACATATCATAACACGGCTGTCCTTGTGAATTTTCAAGTTTAAGTTGTGAATGGCTCTTGTTTCCATATCCGAGGCGATCATCTCAGGACTGCAAACTTTTAAATCCCACAGAGCCTAAAGAGAAATCATCAGCCATGATCATGCATACATACATACAGAGACATGAAGTATACAAACAAGTCCCTCATTCTCTCTTGCTATAGAATATACCGCAAGGAAAGTACGCGAATACGGTCTTTACGCACAAATAGAAGCACATAATCCCAGAGCGTCTGACTACACCTATAAATGCCCAGCAAAAGAAAAGAAAATAATGGGGAAGAAAACGACAGAAGCCGCGGAAAGGAGAGGAAGCGAACTTAGGTAGGAGTCCGGCTTCTTCTCGGCTGACGTTCGCACTATCCAGTTCTGCAAAGCCTCGACACGAATCGACAGACTGAGACTATGTTCATACTGTACCGGAAGTCATACCACACCGGAAGTCATACCGGACTGATAGGGCTTCTGTTCACACATACGAACGGTGATTTTGGCGCGAATTCTGTAACTGCGCCGCGCCGATCTCGAAAGTGGTGCGTCATACATCGTACAGGCTATGTCGGCCACATTTTGGTGTAGTGTGAAGGTAATTGGACCGTAGCGGAAGTAAATAAGTAAGAAAGAAGACTGAAACTTGCTGAGACGGAAGTAAATATTCAGGAGTGAGGTTGGGAATTAGAGAACCAAACTCTCTCGGCCACCCGTTCCTGCACGATGTTCGATGTTAGCGTGTGAACGACTTGTTCCAGTTCTGTACCGTTACTGTTCATACTCTACCGATATCTTTTCGTGTCTGCACGAAAGGCACGAAAAGCTATCCAGTATCGTATGAACATAGCCGCTGAATCTCAGAATAGATTTCGCGGCATTTTTTTTTTTTTTGAATTTTTGATAAAAAGTAGTCAGCAAATATCTATCAACATTACTGGAAAGAGGAACTTAAATAGGGTAGCTTACCAAGTTTAAAGGTGATACTTCCAAAGCAACATGGAAGATATTGCTCCACAAAGACGCAAAGTTTTACAGACGTTTGTATGGTGGGGGTTCAAACTTACCCCCCACCACCAACAACCACCACCACCATACAAACCTCTTCAAAATTGTGCGACTTTGCGGAGCTGTATCGCTTCGTTGGTTTTCAACAAATCACTTTCATACTTGGCAACTTTACTAATTTTAAGGCGTTCTTTCCAGCCATATTGACGAATTTTCGGTCCCAGTGAGAAGTTGAAAAACCGTGCAAGGGTCTATTGTTTTACACAGCAAAGTTTGGATATTTAAAAATACTTATATCTTACATTGTCAACGACAACAATTCCCCCACTGCGCAACAGCTGTAGCGATTTCTCATAATACTGATCATATTCCGTCTTTTCAGCGTCAATAAAAACCAGGTCGTAACTTCCACTCTCTCCTGCGTCTATCAGCTCATCTAAGGAAAGGTCACAAGATACTACTTATTTGCCATTCACCACTTAAAATCTATCATTCATGATTTGCAGCAATTGCCCTAGAAAGCGAGGCCAAGACCTAAGCTAATGACGAACATTACGAGGAGACTAGAAAAAGAACCGCCAGATATTTCACAGAAATTTAGATTAAAAAAGAAAAAATTAACAACAACAACAAAGACAACAGTGCAGAAAAGGTATCACCAGCTACACCGGCTTTTCTGGTAAAATGTAATCCTGGGGGGTGGGGGAATGTAATATTTGGGGTTAGGGTTAAGTGCCTCCCTCCCCTTCCATGGGAACGAAACCTCATGTATAAGACTCCAAATAAAGCATTGTCTTGTCTTGTCTTGTTTTCTGCCGTATTTGTCCTAGAGGATTCTAAAACGCCTGGATAAATGACTTGCTGTTTAATAAGTACCATGATTAGTGCAACACATCTTTACATAATGGGCCTGTTAAACTGACAAGTAGACATACATGTAATTAAACCTAGCCGGCATAGAAGAGCCGGGGGGAGAAAGGGAAACGGGGAGGGGGTACCAGAGCTCTCTTATCCCTTTCGCTTTTGTCCCTCCCCCTTCCGGCCTTTTTTACACCTGCCACATAGGCTATTCAAAACAGGTCTGAAAGACTAAAACGGCTGTAACTTTCATGTGTCTTATTTTAAGACGTTCACGATTTTGTTGGTTCTTAAAGTCTTTCCGACCAAATTCCACAATCCGCTTACTAAGAAAGCTTAGAAATATGGGATCAAATTTTAGATGCAGCTAAACTTTCTTTCACTCACGAACTGTGGGCTTGTTAACTGCTTAGACTAATCAACAGTTTTAGCTCATAATTATAATGGCCCTTACCTAGAGTGGTGATCGCAGATTGTGGCCTCAAATCTATCTTCGATTCAACCCCTGCCTTTACAAATATAATTCACTGTTAGATTGGTTCTATACACCTCAGACAATCCCGAAATGAACTCAGTAAATTCAATACGGTCTTTTTAAGGTGTTTTGAAACAATTTTTCGGTGACCTTACCCATATTTGTCCCATGGCTAAAAAAAAAATTAACAAGTGACTGTTTGTCCAAATGCAGTTTAAAGTAAAATTGATATCACTATGACAACAATAGACGAAAAACTTTGAAATCGATAAAGCCACATTTCGCGCAATCTAGACCGGCTACTGAAAATCCGACACCAGGAACTTTAAGGGTGATATTTGGCAAATGACCTCCGTGAGAAGTAAAAAAATTCTGTATGTTTCTGTATATTCGAATAAAACGTAAATATATTTCAAACCTTATATTTCAATAACCTTCATAAATTGTTTTAATAAAAAAGTTCTACAAAAACTCAAATTGATAATCTTATATTTCGCTGCTGGGAAATTTTGGTGTATTTTCTTTCTTACGGTCCTGAAAACAAACCTGTTTTCTCACCACCTGTCTCAGTGCAACTTTATTCTAAATTTGACTTTTAGCGCTTTTCTGTATATCTCTCAACAAATAATCTTCATGATGTATACTGATGTAAGAAACTTACTTTCATGAAGATTGATTCATTGCAACGCCTTGCATACACCGCCTTCTACATATGTTTCTCAAAATCGTTATTAACAAATAAATAAATACAAAATATAAATTGACTGTGAGGCGTAATAGAAATTACTGGTAAACCAATAGTTTACGTTGTGCCACATAAACCAGTGATAAATAAGGACAGAAACCCTGGTAACTCAAACTCGAATAATTCAAACTCTCTCACTAATTTGAACTAAAAAAAAGTCTCGTTTCCTTAGATTTCAACCCACTTTTCATTCATTTTTATACTCATTAATTTGAACTTGGATAATGGTAAATTGATTTCTGTTCGCTATCATTTTAGCTGTTGATTATTTGTGAGATTCATTGAATGATTATGATACCAGCTATTTCTGTAAGCAATTGTATGTTTAAAACGTGCAGAGTGAAATTAATATTTTTGCAGGTATTTTTGTATAAATTGAACCTGTATAGAGTGCAAGTTATTCTCGGTCGTTAAGCTTCCTTTTCGGCGTGTAAGTTTAACTTTAGATTGTAATTTCTTTCATTATTTTTTCGGCCTCGTAGGAAGGTCGTGGAGTTTATTGTGCTTGGTTCCTGCCCAGGTTTCCTCTATCTTCCCGCCTTTTGGCGGGTTTCTTGTAGGGCTTTTTCCTGGCCCGCGAGCGAACTGTTGATACGTACCCAAAACTCCGTTAATTTTTCTTGACTGTTCACAATTTTGTCTTTTAGGCTAAATTTGGACTCCAAATAAAGCGTAGCTTTACGCTTTAACTATACACTGCTGGAAGTGCTGAAAAATAAGTAACTATCAACTTTTAACACTGAAAATTGAATTTTGCAATCGACCCCAGTAACTTAGACTGTTTTCTGTTTCCCTTCAGAGTTCGAATTACCAGGGTTCTACTGTATATCTAGTTGCTGCTATCTTTCAAAGACAATAAACATTTTCCTACCTCTTCAAAGTACTGCTGAGAATTAATCTCCTTCAGATATTTGTCTGTTATGTCACAAGCCACAACTTTTCCTCCTGGGGGCAGCATTGTAGCCATGCTTAATGTGTTATAACCAGTGTACACCCCTGTAAGTTACACAGATGGAAATAAGCTCGTGGCCAACAGCAGTGCACCAGAAGTTATGCACTGTAACTTTTTTTTAACCTCTCAATAACACGACAAATCATTATGAAATATATGATATTCCGTTTCAAGGTAATTGTAGATATTTGCTATCAAAGATTTTACAATATATTAGTACGTGTATCTTATGGGTAAAAACGATTATATTGGTATCCCACAAGCTATACCGACCCCCCCCACCACCACCACCACCACCACCACCACCCGTCCCAAAACCAGACATGATTGGTACAGTTGTAACCTTCATTTGTGCATGGTTTTCTTTTCTTCATAGACATTGAAAACTTTTAGACAAGAAGCTAACTAGGGTACCAAGTATGGTCCACACTAGTAGGCCATTGACAAGCTTGCTCGATCGAATGTGTTGTTGATCCTTTGACCAACGTTTGCTCCAATCCTGTTTGTTATTGCTGTTTCTGTTGTTTCTAGTACATTGTCATTATTGTATGTATTAGTATTATTTTCTTTTTCTGGACCTTGTAGTGGAGCTTGCTCTGTGACTCATCCAGGCATCTTGGCGAAGTTTGTAAATAAATAAATAAATAAATAAATAAAGTATTTGATGTACACCTTGGTAGCCTTTGTACAAACACAAGCTCACACACTTATGTATCTTACCTATTTCAATAACCTTTTTTGCTTTCAATAACTGCATCAATAGCCTAATGAGTTGTGATTCGTCAGAACTACACATCATGGTTTGCCTTGAAGCTGTATGTACAGTTGCCTGCAATATCAGTAGAGAGAGGACTTGCAATGTGCTGTTAATTTTAGTTTTTTCATAATTATACCACAAGTATAAAATGTTTTGCAACATATTTTCATCACTTACATTTCTGTTATAAATGTTGCTTTTTTTTTAATATTCTGATTGATTGAGAACATGTTTACTAATATTCTTATTCCATAATAACGCATGATATTGGACGAAAAAACAAAGGCAATCATTGGTTTGGATATAAATTAAAAAGCGTCTCAGTAATTACCGTTGGATACAAACATTAATGACACATTAATACAGGGTTAGCCTCGACATAAAGTAAAATACCGTAAAATTCCGAAAATAACCCCTCCATGTATAAGCCCCTCCAAATATAAGCCCCCCCAAACCGGTAACGCAAAAAGCCCTCCGTTAAATCGCCCCTCCAAATATAAGCCCCGCGGGAGCTTGTACTTGGAAAATTGTCCTCAAATACAAAGTAAAACAAAGCAAAAACGGTAAATTTACTTCCTGTTATAAGGCTAGCCCAATCGATTTAGAAACGCAAATTTCCCTCCGTTGATAAGCCCCTTCGAATATAAGCCCCTCCAAAAATAAGCCCCTCAAAAAGGGTCTTTGAAAAATATAAGCCCCGGGGCTTATTTTCGGAATTTTACGGTATTCACAATTCCAGAAAGTGTTTGAGATTTGTAAATATAATACAAAAAAGAAAGAGTAATAAACAGCTTCTTGCTGGAATTTGTGAATATATTTATTTCAGATGGAGGCTAAGCCTGTAAAAAATGCATCTTTACTTTTTTATTCAGCGGTGATGGTGAACTCTGTGATAACGTCTTAGTTTTGCTTTGCGTTATTTTCCTCACTTATATGTGTTGCCCGCGACTGTGCTCACACGGTGGGTGGCTCCTTCTAAAATGTTCTACAATTGGTATAGGATTTAATGGAGCTGAAACCAATTGTGGAATTGCATGCATTTTAGGCATCCTACTGATGAACAGTTGGGACACGTAGATATATTTTTTAGCAACTACTATAATTTGCAGTCTGTCTACTTTGAATACAATTTCTAGCTTTCCTAAGGGACCCTCGACCAATACAGTGCTAATGGGTATGGGGGACGAATTGCTGAGAGCGATGAAAAAAGGTGAGGTTACTCTCATGGTGCTGGCCGATTTCTCTAAAGCGTTTGACACAGTCAACTACAAGATTCTTATAACTAAGTTATCAACGCTTGGTTTCTCGAAGTAGTTTCTGCGCTGGTTGAATTGCTACTTGAGTGACCCGTCACATTTTGTACAGATCGATGATCATGCATCTGAATCAGTCAACATGTGCCTAATGTTAATTTATATTAATAACCTCTATGTTTCCGATCTGCAGATCATCTCCCTTCCTTGATTGGTTCATTTCAATATGCTGACGACACTACACTCATGGATAGTAGAAAGACTGGTCTTTCTATTATCCATGCTACAATAATACTCCAGCTGTCAAGCTCCTGAGCTACAAAGATGTGCGAAAGAACTAAACTCCACACTAAGCACTGTGAGCTCCTGATCTAATGACTCCCATCTAGCACTTAACTCGAAGAAGACAATGATGATGTTGCTCAGTGTCCACAAGCCAGATGTCTCATGTATAAAGTTTAGATAAGAATCGACCAGCTATTACAATCTCAGATAGTACACTAGAATATGTAAATGTAAGTAAGCTTCTTCAGGTGTCCATTTCCACCAGCATCTTAATTGGGATGAGCACGTGCAAGCAACGTGCAAGAGCTGTTACGGGACGATACAAACAATCAATAAGAAAACTTATTTTAAGAACTTTAATTTGCTGGTTATAGACTCAGAAAGAATTTAGTGGAGTCACTGTTGCTGTCAAAACTTGACTATTGTGACACTGTCTATTACCCTTTGCAAGAATTTCAACTAAAACGTTTATGTTGTAGTTAATTTTTTATTTCAGTTCATTTTTTTTTTTTCATTGTTTTGGTGTATGGTAATGTATGCTAATAAATTAAAAACAAAGGAAAAACAAAAATTAACTGAAATGAAAAATTAACTGCAACATTTACAGCATTTCCAGCTACAAGCTGCTAGTTTTGTCCTGAGTAGGTATGTAAATGACATTAATGATATTGTTAAGATAGGGTGGTTACCAGTAAGACAGTGAAGAGACTTCCACATTCTCAAACTTGTTCACAAGGCTTTGCACTCCCTAGCTGACCGTCTTACGTACCACTAGATACAGTTAAACATCTGCGATCTTTGCGATCAGGAGCAGCAACAAGATTAATTATACCAATGGAGAGGGGCACCTTTCAAGACTCTGCTGCCAAGTTCTTTAATGCCCTTCCAGCAAATATTAGAAACTGTAGTGATTATGCCTACCTATCAAACAACAATTGTAAATAGCCTTTAAATTGCATATAGGGTTGTATTATTATTACTAATCTCTGTAACATTTTTGTACAATATCCTTTTACAGTCCCCTATTATTGCTTTTTATATTGTAGATTTCATTTTTTTTTAAATTTATTTTTGTAGCATATTGTAGATTTCATATTTTATATTGTAGTTTTTAACAAGTGAAGAGCCACTAGGTGGATACACTGTTAATAAACCATTATTATTATTATTATTATTATTATAACTCAAAACTGGACTATTGTTTGTGTTGGTTACATATTATTTACTTTCAAAACTCATAGATAATTCATTCAGTGGAAGCTCTCTTATGGGACACTCTCGTTAGCGGACAGCTCTACTTATGGCTGCCTAACCCCTCTCTGAACTCCCATACAAAATCTGTATTTTTACATCCTCATAAGGGTACCCCCGTGGGTTGCGTCAGGGCCCAAGGGGTTGGGGGGGGATACTCTGGATTTCAAGTGACGGGGATGATCAAATGGGGACAAAAATCAAAACCCATAAGAATCTCTGGACCAAAAATTAACCCATAAAAATCTCATGCCACATTTCTGAGCCTTAAAAATTTCTAGTACGTAAACATCAAAATGATATAACACAAAAAATAAAAACATTACAAATTCAATGTTTGTGTTTGTATATTCACCATACCAAATAAAGTTATTACAAAATCTTCAGATTGTTTTGGATAACCAAAAAAATCCCTACTTAAATCCAGTCACCCCTCCAAAAAAATAGTACGTGCCAAGTTTCCCATCCCAAAATTCCAGGAATCAAAAATTTCAAATCCCCACTGCTAATTCAACCATCCCCATCGCTTGAAATCTAGGGCACCTCCCTGGGCTTCAGGGTTTTATGAAATAGATTTTAGCTTTGTTTCTAATCTTCTGTATACAAACAACTGGTGTAAAATCTCATGCACCTCTGAACAATGTATTTAAATAAGTCAACTTCATATCCCTACATTTGAATTTGTGACACATCGAATATATATTTAAGTTTCAGTGCTTGTTTTCTTCGCATACCTGTAAGTCTGGTTACACTTCAAAACACAACACCACTTGAATTTTATGCTTGTAACTGAATTACAAGATCTGTTACTACCAACTTACTAGACCTGTTACTTAATCTGTTACTAACAACGTTAACTAGAATTCTTAACATGTCACTCTCCTCCGTAAAGATGTCTGAGGCACTTAAAGTTGCTGAATTTTGACCGGTTCTCAAAAAACCTGATGCTGACTACAAGTAATTTTCTAACTTTCGACCGATTTCTAACTTGAAAATAATTTGGAAGGAAGTTGAGAAAGTGGTGGCTATGCAGCTTACGGACCACATTACACCTCATCAACTTGATGAATGGTTTCAGTCAGCTGAGCTAAGTGTTTCTCCCACGTTAAATAAAGATTATGTTATGTTTTGTTATGTTATTGTTAAACGTATTTTAGTATTTAAATGGTACTGATATAGGCATATTTTCATCCCCTAAAAATTTTTCATCTGTTCGGATTTCCTAGCTGAAAGTCCAGTGATCCGAAAATTATAGGGATCAAAACTTACCTTTTCGAAAATGTCAGCCAGAAAAAAGGCTCTCGAAAATTCTAGGCGACCTTTTTACAGTAAAAATCCGTTAAAAATGGGCAATCGTACCATTTTTTAGATGTTCGAAAATCCTAGGAGACGCAGGCAAGCAAGAAATTTTACAACAAAGGTTCCGAAAATTCTAGATCTCAAATCCTCTTCCAAACAGATATTTTCCGAGAATTGACGTTGGGTGCCCCTGCAAGATCAAGGAGACACTTACTCATCCTAAGTAACTGAAGCACGATGATCAGTGGAATGGGTTCGTACTGTCCGTGGAATCATTTGCACCCGCGGCCGAAGTGAGCCTAAACCGATTGATCATTCCCTTTTCTTCAATGTAGTATTTTGTTAGGGTTACAGAACTTAGAAAATAGACCTCACCTCTCTAAGTTTCCTCAGCGATTCGGGTTCTCGGATGCCATGGTCTAACAGATATTGCTTAACAACGTCATTGCTTCCGCTTAATGTTTTCCAGTTGGAAGAAAACATTTTCTTATGCCGTCTACCTACAACATATCCAACAGCTACAGAGGATAGTGCAATCCCCACCGCGCCGAATAATAACTTGTTCTCACTGAAAATAGACATTTAAGGTAAAAGAACGTGGATGAAACTGATGAAAAGGTCGATGAAACCATTAACGCAACTAGCTACCCGGAGTCTGGATCTACCTCGGTGTAATTTTCTTTGTTTTGCACCTTTTGTTTTTCTACGTCATTTTGTTTCCTTTGTTTTAAACCAGTTGTGAGTTTAACGGGTTCTTACACCGAGGATGAGCCCAGAGTCTTTTGGCTCTTTGGTCAGCGGCCGCAGCGTTGCCCTATTATTGCTATAAGAAAAGGCTACCACAGAAACCATTGAGGCAAAACTAGTTTCTTCTGACAAGATAGTTCAAACATAAATTGTAGTTTAGATTAGAGTACGAATTCGAAATTGCCGGAACAAATTTGAGGTTGCCACGGTTACACTAGACGAGGCGCTGAACTTATGTTTTAAGACGGAATCCACCAGGAAATTGAGTAATTTTAATTTTCAGTGGACAAGAGCCTTGTACCAGAATAATTTAAAGAACATTGCATTCTTTTTTTAACATTTTTCAAGGCCTAATGTGTAATTAATCATCTGTAATAACACCAAAGAAAATTTCTCTTGGGAGTCCGAGAAAATGAATGTCAAATCTCACAACTGAATTGTGAAAACACGGGTAAAATTCTGAAAATTGCATGTGTAAGATGTAATTTTGTGAAATTTGACATTAATTTTCTTGGTGTTATTACAGATGACTAATTACATCTTTAGCCCTTGAAAAATGTAAATAAATACTTTGCCTCCCACGCAGGGCGCTCGATACAATGTTTCAGGACAAGAAAGAATAAAAAAGATTTCTTTTTCTTCACGCAAAACGAATCTGAACAGTTTTTACTCGCCTTAGGAGGCGTGTGAACTAAAACCAAGCCCAGAAAATATAACCAAGAATTTCACACACCACATGATTTATACTCCAAGGCCGAAGGTTTGCCGAAAATCCGCCAGACTGAAGTTGTACCGATAAATATACGCGCTTTTCGTGTGAGGACTTTACATATCCACCCTTTAAGAGTAAAATAAATGTTTTGACAAAAAAGAAATTAGTAATCAAAAGTTAAATTTTCAAGAAAAAAAGTGAATTTTGTCCTCACATTTTTTAATGACAACAATGGGACGCGCTTCATACCACACGTTGTCTTCGACACTCCAGTTCTCTCGTGTATATTGAAAAAACGCCTCAAACTTTGGGTTCAACTTGGCGAGGTAGAGCTTCAAGGCCTTATATCTTTGGTATCGTCTCTTTCGTAAATTTTGGCGCATTTTCACTCTTTCATGCTCGAAATCTCGCGGCCAACTCCATCAGGATGATTTTTTGATACATCATCCTGATGCGCCATGTTTGCCCGTTTGATCTACTTCATACTTGAACTTGACTCCCTTACCCTTGTTGTTTTAGGTTCCTCTGTCCCTCTCTAACCTCCCCCCCCCCTCCCCCCTACCTCCCCTCTGCAAAAGAAGAGAGATTCATGGAATGCTAGGTTTCGAAGTAAGCCAGGGGGGTTACAGCTCAGTGAGAGAACTTGTCAGGATTTTAAACGCACCAAATCTTCTCTTTCAATCGCCGGTTTGGTTTTTACTTTTTCTTTTCCGTGGCGCTTCAAGCTTACAACTTTGGCAGTAAGCATAAGTCGTATGATCTTTTGAACCTTGGGTCGGTAGAACAGAGCTTCAGGCCTTTGTTGTGTGCATTTAAAAATCTTTTAATAGCGTGACGAAAACCAAAGAGTGTGGATTTAGTGTAGTCTTCTCTCGAATTTTTTTTGGCCTCAGGCCGCTAAAATCTTCGCAAGATCGCATCTTGCTGGCCCGGCGACATTTGCTCCAGTTGTATCTGTATTTTTTCTCCAAAAACCAAGCTAAATTCCAAGAGGCAATACCATTAAATTCAGAGACACTGGAGGACCAACTTGTTGTTTTGTAGTGAAAAAATTTGTCACATTTAGATTTTTCGCGGCCTTGATTGTTTGGTAAATTCCTTTGGCACATGTCATCGGCTTGCCCCAGGAGTAGACCCCCGGGCCAACCAGGAGAAATATGTCGGGGAACACAAGGGGATGGATTGGATTCTCTCCCCCTGGGGAGGGAAGAGAGTGGGGGAATTGCAAATTTTGTAAAATAGCAGACGGTATTGGTACCCAGACTTTCAGATCGTTTCGGTATCAAAGGCACGGCCCTAGCCTGGTTTGAATCCTACTTAGAGTCACGTAAATATTACGTTCATGTTGAGGGTGGAAAGTCAAATGTAAGACCCGTGACTTGTGGGGTTCCACAGGGATCAATTCTGTGTCCTACTCTGTACGTGCTATACACGATACCTGTTGCCGATAACATCAAGGCCCACAAAGTAAAGTATCACTTTTATGCTGATGTCATACTCAGCTTTATGTTACCTTCAAGTGTGATTCCCTGGAGGATGCGTACTTGGTGAGGACCAGGGTCAAATGCTGTGTTCAAGATATCAACTCATATGGATGATTAAAAATAAGCTAAAAATGAATGATGATAAAACTGAGCTTGTTGTCATAAGTTTAAAACACCAACCAAGACCTGCTATAGCATCAATTCAAGTGGGAGAGGAGACCATAAACCATGCGCCCACTGTGCGAAATCTCGGTGTTCTGTTGGATTAAGTTCACCCAATTCCATCTTAGGAACATTGTGAAGATAAGGAAATATCTGGATGAGGGTTCTACTGAAACATTGGTCCATACTTTAGTGTCATCTAAATTAGATTATTGCAAAACTCTTCTATACTTCCTACCCAAATGTCTGATTAAGAGGCTTCAATTAATATATACACCTTATTCGATGGTTTAGCATATAATACGTGCGGATATTTTGCGAGTTGCGTCGTATTTTTCCGAGCCCCGTAGGGGCGAGGAAAAATACGAGCAATAAGCAAAATGTCCGCTCGTATTATATGCTAAACCATCGAATAAGAGTTTTATTATTCCACTACAAAAAAAAATTATCTGGCAATTGGCTTCTATTTTTTGGTAAGAGTATTCAGAGACATCCTGATTCTGTCTGTGAGAATGACGTTAACAATTAGCAAAATGTTCGCGCGTATTATATGCCAAACCATTGAATGAGAGGTTAATTATTTTACTGCAAAAGAAAAATGGTATTTTGGCTTCTATTTTCTAATGAGAGTATCCAAAACATCCTGATTCTGTCAGCCACAGTTGCTCCTTTTGCATCTGCCGGTATTCGCCCTGTTGTAAATCGGTTAAACCAGGAAAATACGGTGTATTACGGCCTCGTATTTTGCTTGTTCTCTTGACCTTATATGGTAAAATGACATAATAGTGAAATAATAATAGTGCATAATAACTGCTGCTCATTTTGTTACCAGTACCCGAAAGTACGATCATACACTGTATAACACCAGTTCTAAACGGCTTCACTGGCTACCTGTTTCTCATCATGTATTATTTTTAAGATTCTATTATTGATTTATAAATCACTCAATGGTTTTGCTCCTAGTTATTTATCAGTTCTGTTAAATCGACGTTGTTACACCAACACATTATAATCATGTTCAAAAGAACTTCTTACTTTTCCTAGATCAAGGACAGTCACATATGGTGATAGAGCGTTTTCCACTGCGCGCGGGTCCCAAACTTTGGAATGAAGTACCTCCTTCACTAAAAAAGGCTAAAAGCGTTGATGTCTTCAAAAGTCAAGTTAAAACATTTCTATTTAAACAAGCATGTAATTGCTGACCACTTTTATATTGATAGCATGGTTTTAGTGTAAATAATAATTTATTTTAGCTTTTATAGTTAGTTATGTAATACAATTCCCTTTCTTTGTTTTAAAACTGCAAATTAGTATACTGACTCGGCAAGATGTAAAATAGATTAATTTTTCTTTTTAATTATACAATAATTGTCACAGGGCATAAAGGAGGTTACAAAATGACATTACATGCCTCAAATAATATATGCAAATATAATACAAAAACACATTTAAAGGTAATTCCTACTATTTTTTCTTTGCTGTGGAAGTTATTTCCAAAACTAATGCTTTTGCTTTCATCAGCTTTCCAAAATGCTCAAAAGCGGGGCTGCTTATCATGGTTTCAAATGCTTTCACCCTTTTCACCTGTGCAACCGTCACACATGTTTATGAAATATTAAGCTTACATGCAAATGACAAAAGAGCAGCAAAGGTATTTCGCAGAACCCCAAATGGCCGACGAATGCCGAATGACTCTGGAGTTAAGTGATTATAGGGTCAGGAAACTGAGAGAATCAAGTTTCATGTTATTTTGCCCCATATAATGACCCTAAATGGAACCTGATTCACTCAGTTTCCTATAAAAGGTAACCACTAATCTCTAATCTTCATAGTCATTCGGCGTTTGGGGTAGGCTTTTGTACATTATGCTAGCATTTTTTCGAGCATTTTAGTGAGGCAAAAGCATTGAGCATTATTCGAGCATTTTAGTGGCGTTTTCCCCGGAAAATTAATTTTTCCGAGAAAATAAAATAGAAATTAACTTTTTTCAGGAGCCCATGCATGCCCCACGAGCTGCTGCGTTTTTTAAAGAAAATGAAGACTAAAACTCAAAATTCACAAAAAGCGTAATACAGCTGATTTTTTTGGCTGTATTTATGAACTTGTACACGTCGTCGTTGTTACTTGCAACACTTGCTCGTTTTTGTAAGTGTAAACTTTGAAATTAATTTAAAAAAACCGTTTGTATAATAAGCATTATCCGAGCATTTTAGTGACTTTTTTGGGGAGACCGAGCATTTTAGTGGGAAAAATGGAGCATTAAGGTGGAGCATTTTAGTGGGGAAGCAAAAGCATAATGTACAAAAGCCTAGTTTGGGGGTCTTTCACATTCTGCAAAATACCCCTGATGGTAAAGGAGTTGAGTGAGCCGGAGCCAGAGAGGTTTCTTTTGCAAGTCACTTTCCACTGATCACGATTTGTCAGGTCACTGATTCCGGCATTGATATAGGTAGCTATAAAACCACACAAATCCCCCAAGATCAGGGGCACCCAACGAGAATATAGTTCAAAACCACTTAAACATAGCATTGTTAAACGTATTTTAGTATTTAAAC